CACACTGTTACATTTGCTTTGCTTCAAAAATGATCCCCAAGTATCTTCCTTGCTGCTTCAAAGCATCTCCAAAGCGGAGCGGAGCAACTAGCAGATGGCACACACAGACCAGAGGATCAGTAGAGCTGGAGGTTACTACAGAACAGGAGATCAGCAGAGCTGGAGGTCACTACTGAGCGGCTGGGGGGAATCAGCACAGCTGGAGGTTACTACTGAGTGGGGGATCAGCAGAGCTGGGGGTTACTACTGAGTGGTGGAACAGCAAAGATGGAGGTTACTAAGGACTGAACGAACAGCAGAGCTGGGGGTTACTACTGAGCTGGGGATCAGCAGAGCTGGAGGTTACTACTGAGCTGGGGATCAGCAGAGCTGGAGGTTACTACTGAGCTGGGGATCAGCAGAGCTGGAGGTTACTACTGAGCTGGGGATCAGCAGAGCTGGAGGTTACTACTGAGCTGGGGATCAGCAGAGCTGGAGGTTACTACTGAGCTGGGGATCAGCAGAGCTGGAGGTTACTACTGAGCTGGGGATCAGCAGAGCTGGGGGTTCCGTAGAGCTGGGGGTTACTACTGAGCAGGGGATCAGAAGAGCTGGGAGTTACTAGTAAGCGGGGGGAATCAGCAGAGCTGGGGGTTACTACTGAGCGCAGGATCAGCAGAGCTGGAAGTTACTACTGAGCTGGGGATCAGCAGAGCTGGGGGTTACTACTGAGCGCAGGATTAGCAAAGCTGGAGGTTACTACTGAGCGCAGGATCAGTAGAGCTGGGGGTTACTACTGAGAAAGGAATCAGAAGAGCTGGGGGTGTTACTACTGAGCGGGGGATCAGCAGAGCTGGGGGTACTACTTTGCAGGCAAACTGTTAAAAAAGGGTACTAATGAGCTGGAGATCTGCTGAGCGGGGATGCGCATTAGCTGGGGATTTGGTAAGTGGGGGAAAGAGAACTGAGTGGCAGAGCATCAGCACAGCTGTGGGACGGCAGCAGGAAAAATTAACAGATGTCGCACGTGGTGAGCAGCAGTGGAGCAATATAGCGGGAGGTGAGCGGAGACCACAGAGAGAGAAGGATCAGCAGAGCTAAGGGTCCTACTTGTCATGGAATCTGCTGAACGAAGTATTAATGAGCTGGGGATCTGCTGAGCGGGGGCAATCATGAACTGGGGATCTGCTGAGCGGGGGCAATCATGAACTGGGGATCAGCTGAGTAGGAGAAAGAAGGCTGAATGGCAGAGGAGCAGCAGAGTTGCGAGACCGGTGCAGAAAAACTCAACAAATGTTTCATGTGGTGAGCAGCTTGGGAGCAATATAGCGGGAGGTGAGCGAGGACTGGAGGGAGAGAGGACTGATGTAAAATCAGCAGAGCTGAGGGACCGGAGCAGGAGAAATTAGCAGATGTCACACGTGGTGAGCATCATGGGAGAAACATAGCAGGAGGTGAGTGGGGACTGGAGGGAGAGAGGACTGAGCAGCAGAGAATGAGCAGAGCTGGGGGCCGAAGCCTGTGAAACCGGAGTATTTCACACAAGATGCGCAGCACAGAAGCAATATAGCTGGAGGTGAGTGGGGATCGGAGAAAGGGGGCGGCTCGGCAGAGCTGGGAGTAGCTAACGAGTGGGGGGATCAGCAGAGCTGGGAGTAGCTAACGAGTGGGGGATCAGCAGAGCTGGAGGTAGATACTGAGTGGGGGATCAGCAGAGCTGGAGGTAGATACTGATGAGGATCAGCAGAGCTGGAGGTAGATACTGAGTGGGGGAGCAGCAGAGCTGGAGGTAGCTACTGAGTGGGGGATCAGCAGAGCTGGAGGTAGCTACTGAGTGGGGGATCAGCAGAGCTGGAGGTAGCTACTGAGTGGGGGAACAGCAGAGCTGGAGGTAGCTACTGAGTGGGGGAACAGCAGAGCTGGAGGTAGCTACTGAGTGGGGGAGCAGCAGAGCTGGGGATAGCTACAGAAAACTGGTCCCCCCCAATGTAAATGATTGAGTAAATGGATGGGTCTCCTGGGTGATGTCATTGACCAAACATGGTCATGTACAAATACAGTCAATGATGTCACCTAGGAGACCCCGCCCCTTTACATGTACTGTATCAGCTGTTGTCTGCCGAAGATCTCAGAACCAAGTGAGCAGTCATCAAGGTGAGACTTCATTGGTAACGCCATTGCTAAGGACCTGGACCTACATTGCCAGGTGTTATGACTGACAGTGGATGGGAGGACTATGTACCCCTTACGGCAGGGTGGGATCTGGGGGCCTTCCTATTGGTAAAGGGAACTTCCACATAAGCCCCCTGCCAGCTGACCCGCACAACCAGCAGGCCAGGGTTGGGTTGTGGGGATCAACATGGCAGCAAGGTTTTTCAAGGGTCTGGTATGGTTCAGGAGGGAAGCTTTTCCATCCCCTTTCCTGACAAGCTGGGCTGCATGGTTAGTTTTTGTATTAATTTTTTTGGAGGGAACCCTAGACTTTTTTTTTTTTTATGTTTCCATGGAAGCTTCCCCCCGTTACATTCATAAAAGCCTCTAAGGGTCTGGTATGGAATTTGGGTGGGACTGCACCATGTTTTTTTTTGGCATGGGTTCCACCTTAAAATTCATACCAGGCCTAAATTTCATAAAAACTCCCCACACCGGGTTTGTGGTCCTCCATGAACATTTACAGCAGACCCTCATCAGGGACAAGGGTCCGGTATATGAAGGGAACTGCTGGGGGCTGCTTTGGAAACTTGCACCTATTTTTCTTGTTTCACTTGAAGCATCGGTGAATCGTTGCTCCTGTCAGACAGAATTTTGTTGACATAATATTCGGCTATTTACCTCCCAGGTGTGCTCAGCTCATGGACTTCGTGTTTCCTGACCCACCTGTGCTGATCTCTGTAGGAGTGTCCTCCTCTATAAATGTCCCCGTTATTCCATCCTCCTCCATAGACTGCTGATCATCCCTCACATACGCCTCTTCTTCTTCTGATTTCACCTCAAATTCTATATCGATTGGATCTCCACTCTACATCAAGAGAAGGAGAGAAAATATCATCTGTAAGATAGAAGATTTATTATTGTGACATCACATAGAAAGTCCGCACATCATCTCCATGAGTCCATGTTCTAGATTCTCAGTCCCACCAACCTTGTAATAGTGAGGGATGGTGTGACCTTCCTGTGTGGAATCCCAGGAATACAGAGGACAGGGACATCCCGCTGGTGGGTTCCCATGACTGGATCGTTCTACCTGATCATGGTGAGGGATGGTGTGACCTTCCTGTGTAGAATCCAGGGAATACAAAGGACGGGGACATCTCGCTGGTGGGTTTCCATGACTGGATCCATCTACCCGATGATGGTGAGGGATGGTGTGATCTTCCTGTGTGGAATCCCGGGAATACAGAGGACGGGGACATCTCTCTTGCTGGGTTCTCATGACTGGATCCATCTGTAGGAAACACACACACACTGAATGAATCCATTGTTTCTATGGGTTTATCAGATGATGGGGGATCTAGGTGGATCCTCCGTACTGCTCTCTCCTTTCCAATAAAGTATCTTCTTACCCAGTGATGTGAGGGGCGGCTGATTGTCCATCATGACGTCCTTGTAGAGGTCCTTGTGTCCTTCTAAATACTCCCACTCCTCCATGGAGAAATAGACAGTGACACCCTGACACCTTATAGGAACCTGACACACACAATGATACAGTCACCATCCAGACACATCCCTTGTCTGTTACTGGAGAATGTCCCAGAATTCCCGGCACCGCTCACCTCTCCTGTCAGCAGCTCCATCATCTTCTTGGTGACTTCTAGAATCTTCTGCATGTTGTGTCTCTTAGGGTTTAGGGAGTCACATGGAGGCACTGTGATGGTCATATGATCACCTGACTTCAGAAAGAGGAAATCTCTGTATTAGGGAACCAATAGGAATATCATGTTAGACTCCCAGAATCCTCCTCACCCTCTCCGGTCAGGTCTGTGTTTTACTAATAGAGATGAGAGTGATTTTGTGTGACCTCCCAGAATCCTCCTCACCTCCCTGGTCAGGTCTATGTTTTATTAATAGAGATGAGAGTGATGTCATGTGACCTCCCAGAATCCTCCTCACCTCTCCGGTCAGCAGGTAAATGATCTCCAGGGTGAGGTTTAGTATCCTCTCGGTCATGTGACTCCGGTCCTCCTCCATCCTCATTGGTCATGTGATCTATACAGGTTTCCTGTAGACCAATAATTGATAACAGAGAATGATCCGGACTGTACTGGTTGTACAATATTAAGATGGGGGGGAGGGGGGATATAAAGGGTTAATAAGTAGAGAGAGGAAGAAGGAATTTGGTGACAACAGAGGGACAATCCCTCCAAATCCTTCCCACCATCCCCCACACCCCTCTAATGTGTCTTCTCTGCTGGCGGTATATAAGGACAGACCTCTTCCTGTGATGGCGGTGAAGTCGGAGATGGGATGGGGATGTTGGTGGGGGGATGGGGGTAGGGTGGTCACCTCACCCCGATCTCATGTTATATACAGATTCTGTGGCAGATGAAGGTGGTCATTAAACTCCCATCTGTGCCATTAACCGCGTAACCATTTCCCTACCGAAGGACGGCTACAGAGCGGTTGTCTGGTTCTGGGACCACGTCTATGGACATCATTCCAGGACACGCCCCCGCCGATCACTGTGTCCTACGGACACGGCTGATCACAGGGTACAGTACACGGCCAATCACAGCGGCCTTTTACCACGTGATCAGCCGTGTCCAATGACAGAGGAGATCTCCGGGTACATACAGTTGCCAGTTATCGGCTGCACTGTCACAGCGTGAGGAGAGAACCGGCAATTGTCAGAGGATGGATCAACACTGATCAGTGCCCTTCAGTGCTGCCCACCTGTGCCCATCAATGCCACCCATCAGAGCAGCATCATCAGTGCGACCCACCTGTGCCTATCAATGCCACCCATCATTGTAGCATCTTCAGTGCCACCCACCTGTGCCCATTAATACCACTCATCAGTGCATCAGTGCCCATCAATGCCTCCCATCAGTGCCACCCACCTGTGCCCATCAGTGCCACCCATTAGTGCAGTATCAGTGCCCATCAATGCCTCCCATCAGTGCAGAATTAATGCCCATAAATGCCACCCATCAGTGCCACCCATCAGTGCAGCATCATCAGTGCCAACTCATCAAAGCTGCCTATCAGTGCCCCGCCCTCCAGCCCCATCAGCGCACATCAATGAAGGAAAAAAATTACCGGTTTGCAAAATTTTATAATAGAAACAAAGAAAAACTTTTTTTTATCTTAATTTTTTTTGCTTTTTTTGTTTACAGCGCAAAACAATAGAGCCCCCAGTGGGGAGTACAGACCACCAAAAGAAAGCTCTGTGTGTGGGAAACAAAATGATAAAAATTTCATATGGGTGCAGCGTGGCATGACTGCGCAATTGTCATTCAAAGTGTGACAGCGCTGAAAGCTGAAAATTGGCCTGGACAGGAAGGGGGTGTAAGGGATATAGAGGTGATTTCGCATTCCTAGGTAGGGGAAGGCGTGTGTGGGCCATACCTGTGCCGCCATTTGCGGCCACAGATGTCAATCACCGGGTCCCGGCCAGTGATTACTGAGCATCTCTGACGGGGAGGAGGAATGTTTTATTTACAATCTTCCTCCCTGTCGGCTCGGGTGCACTGCACAGCACAGCCATCCAGAGCAGTGTGATTACAGTGAAGTACACAGACCCCGCCCCCCTAGTAACAGACCTCACCCCCCAGTAAAACACTCCAGCACACAGTTAACCCTTTGATCGCCCCAGATGTTAACCCCGTCCTGCCCAGTGCTATTAGTACACTGTCTAGCACTGATCACTGTATTGGTGTCACTGGGTATGTCAGTGACACCAAGTCAGGGTTCCCCCCCCCCCCAGCTTCAGAATGCCTGCCGCAGTCCCGCTATAAGTTGCTGATCGCCGCCATTACTAGTGGAAAAAAAAGATCCCTGTCTCTATCCCGCCATTTGTAGACAGCCATCAAACTTTCACGTAAACCAATTCATTTCCAGGTATCGGGATTTTGTTT